ACTCACAGCTTCTCTGGTCAGTTCAGGAGTTTCAGTAGAATTTCAGAAGTTGTAACCACATCACACGCTAGTAATTCATGCCAAAGGTCTACTGTGCCTCTTAGCATAGTAAATTAATGAGGCAGTAAAATGACCAAGGTATTTGAGAGATTACAGGCAATTTGCAGAAGAAATGAATGAAATCTGGCTAGCTGTCATCATGATTTCAGATGTTAGTTAAAAATCAATCTTCCTGTCCAGTATCTGCTGATGAAGTATCAAGTTCTAAACATCTGTAACTAGCACAATTCGCAAGTTTTGAGTTAACACCATGACTGGAGTCTTCCTCAAAGCGGGAAACACATTCTCATTTTGGTATGCTACTTTTGCTATAAAACATTGCTCTTACCTCAGATGCTCCTTCGCTTCCCTCATGGTAAAAGCAGCAGTTTGTGTATGTACAAATAATCACAAAGTTAAAGACAGCAGAGAACAGGATGCGCAGAGACAGTAAAAACAGCTCTACTATCCCAGTAAATTGTCGCAGTTACTGTAAAGGCTGCAAAAGAGTAATTTCCACATTGACTAGAGGCTGCTACCAGGTTAACAAGCAAGCCCCAGCTTCTGCCTGAGATTTTTCTATAACAGAATCTTGAAGAGATATTTGGATGCTCAAGGACATCTGGCAGTCCCACAGACTAAGGTATTTCCCAAGAAGTTATGAGACACATTTCTCCCTGCAGCAGATCCCTGTACAAACGTTTTGGACAAACTTGTCCATATCCATGCCTTCTGGGTTTTGTTTGATTAGTTGGTTGGTTGGATAAGGGGGGGGGAGGGGGCAGATTTCATGCGAGTCTTTGGAAATTCTGTATTAACATCCTCCTTCCTCGAGACAAATGTATTTATACCACGAAGAATGGCAAAGTTTACTAGTTATGCAGAGAGCCACTTCTGTAAGAGAAGACAAAGTTCCTGGCCACAGGTTACAATGCAGTCCCAGCAAAGCACAGGTGAAGTCTAGAAGCATCTAGAAACTTCAGAAAACAGAATGGCAGATTCAGGACACCACCAGTAACAAATAGAATAGTCATCTTGGGAGTAATATTTTTTTTTTTTTTCCCCACACTGCTGCCAGAGAACTGCTTTACTGCAGAATGAATGCCAGACATGGAAGACAACCCAACAGGAAGCTCCCTTAGGAGAAGGGAAGACATCAGACCCCCACAGCTGAGCACATAAAGTATGCCAGAGGAATGAAAAGAGACATGTTAAACAGCAGCTTCAGGGATGACAGCAGTTAGAGATGGGAAAGCCTGGAAAAGGCAAAAATGTACTGCACAAGGTGAAAGAATAATGTTCCCAGGAGTACAGTGATGGAAGCAGCTGACAGCAGGAAAGAAGTATTACGGCCTGATCTCTTCATACTAATGACTTGCATCCCAATGTGAACAGCCAAAGGATTTTAAACTGTTACATTTGGAAAAAAAAAAACAAGCTTTAAAATATCACTGCAAGATTTATTTACTCGGCATCTTCAAGAAATATATCCAGTCTTCTACAGAAGACCAGAACGGAGTTTAAAACTAGTCAGGGTAAACAGTGTAAACATGAGCCTCCTCACTCCAAGAGGAAGAAAAATACTGGTATCTGAAATTAAACATTGCTCCCTGACCAAACACAAAAACAAGCATTGCCTTGAAATAAATGCACACACTTCAAAGTCCACAGAAGTACACCTTTTAACTTGTAATAGGAACTCTGAGATCTTAATAGCAGCAAATTGTATACAAAAGCTGCCACATGAAGTGAATGACAAAAAAAAGCTTAAAGTGAAAGAAAACAGAAAATAAACTCCAAGTAAATCTGAAAAGAAAAAAACAACCCTCTTTTGTCATGCAGGTCTAAGGCATTGCCCCAAACTTGCTTTGTAGAATCAGTTCCACATGGGATATTGAAACAAAAACCCACTGGCAGCCAGCAGTTAACTGGTCCTGCTTCTCCAGAAAAGTAAAAAGCTTCCTACATGTTACTACATCCTCCCTGAAACAGCACAGTCCAACCTCCCAGAGAATCACAACTGACATTACCATCACCTGATGGAGACACATTCGGCTCTGCTGACAAGCTCCTGCTCTCATCTCACCCTCTACATCATTGCAGTTTTCAGATTCCCAGAACTGCTTCTTTGTGGTATGCTGAACAGCACAAACTGAGATTGTAAAAAGACCACATCAGACTCTGGAATCTCTGCAGATGCAATCTGTTTTGCGGGGCGTGACCATGACTAGGCAGAACAGCTTGCACAGCTCCTCCAGACACAACCAAGAACAACTCTTTCTATTTATACTTCTGCAAACAAGAAGGAGATTGTGCAAGGGCAGGTTTACACAAGCCACGTGACTGGTGCACTAGTGAAGCACCACTTCATTATGCTACAGTTGTAAGGCGACACACACCCACAGTATCCCCTGTTATTCCTCTCAGAAAACTGGGACATCATTTTGAGATACAGGTATCTTCCACCATTTGCCAAATTTAAGCTACACTAGTGGGCTGCATCAGCCTAACGTTTTTGCTAGAAACCACATCCTCAACCAGAACAAGCTTGCAAACTACAGAACATACTCTAACTATCTGCTTTCTCCACATCCTTCCCAAAATTCAAGTCAGACTAACACAGCCTTCAGTCTTCTTAACCTTAGATGTTCTGACAGGTGTTTTGCTTGATGAATTACAAATTAGTTTGAAATCTTGTAAGGACGGAACATTAAGTCTACTATTTTAGCAGTGGAAGGGTGTGAAATAATCACAAACTTTTTACTTTCTAAACTTTTATTTTACCAGGAGGGGAAAAAAAAAATCACCAAAAACAAACAAACAAAAAACAAAAAACAACCAACCAAACAAGCAAAAATCCACCAAAAAACAAAAACGCCCACAAAAAAAGTTCACTCAAGAGAAATGGAGTTCTACTTTAACTGTGCACCCAGCCTTCTTTCTTTCCTGGTCTCAAAGACAAGCACTCATCAAAGAGCACACCAGTAGTCTGGAGAGATCCTGAGACCTGTATACCCTGCTTTAATTCCTTCGTGTCTCCCTTAAAGGGAAGATGCAGAGAAGGCTGTAAGTAGGTCAACTAAAAACCCTTGTGGCCTACCAGCCATGCTGTAAGCCAGCCAAGTAACTCTATTAGAATACGCCAAGTGTGGCTGGAGTTTGATACAGCTAATGAGTTAGCTTAGCAGACAAAGGCATTGTTTCAAGTTGTTACAGCAAAATCTTCAGAAAAAACTGCACAATACTATCACAGGTGAGCCAAATAGCATTCATAACTGAACCTTGGTGAAAAACACAGGTGTTTGTGTTAAAACAGTGACTTTCTAAAGAAAAACAGGCCTAACAAGTCTTCTGCTCAGCTCAGTTGCATACACATGCCTTTAACAGGCAGACCAAGCTAACTCTCATTGCTGAACTGGTTTTTCTATCTCCTTAAATACACTAATAGGAAACCTGGCGAATACTTCAAGGCAAATCCTTTTCACTTTTAATGCATAAGAAATGACAATGACTTTAGTGATTTGGAAACAACCCCAGTAAAAACTATAAATAGTGGCAGTCAATTCAGTAGAGGGCAGACAAATACAGAGAGGGAAAGCTCACATTTGCTTTCTTGTTTCCAGCTCCAAAAATCTGAGATTCTCCATTAAATCATGTACATATCAGTATATTAAAACTTCACTTAAGTACATGACTAGTGTACAGTCATACAAGATCGCAATGACATAATGTACTGTAGTCTGCCAACTGATTATTCCTACGGCTTTTAAAAAGGCTAGTCAGGTTTTAGTTTGGTGTTTAGTTGTGTTGTTTTTTTTTAATTCACTTGTGAAATACTGCAGGTTAAACTTGTAAGCAAATAAGCTCTAGGGTTAAAAATCTTTTAAAGAAAAATTCACCAAAAAATATTGTGCCTCACTGTATTAGACCTTCCAATTTGGGGGTTGCTAGCCATTCCATGCCATAACCTGAAAGCATATTACCCTCCCCAGTCAGTCTGTGAATCATTTCTGCAACTCTGTCTAGCTTCTTCAAAGTACAAAAGATAAGCATTGCTTTTTTTAAGCTCCAGCCCTAACGTTCAAGACAAATATCAGTTATTCTTCCCACCACCATTTTCACCGCAGCAACAACATGTAAAAAGGCAGCAAGCAGCAAAATTAGTGGAATTTTCCACGTGGAGCAAGAGACCTTAATGAAATGAGGCTGCTAAAAGCACGAAACTGAAAAAGCTACCTCCTGCCATCTTAAAGAGGATTAATACCCATCTACGCCTGAAGTGCCAAGGATAAACAGAGCTGCTGGCAGAAAAACAACTTCTACCAATTGCTTTTACTTGGCTCTATGAGGTTACATGATTGTACGAGTGTCAGATAGGGATACAAACTGATCATGGCTACCAGAGCGCCAGGAGAAAATCATTTTCCTACCAGCAGTGGGAAAGGCTGGTTTCTCACAGGGACTTCCCTCTTCTCCCTGCGTTTACCTGATCGCTGTTTCTGGGCGACTTCTCCCCACCCCCGTACGGCTTTCCCATCACAGTAGCCACCCTGAAGGTGCCCTTAAAACCCTCGCTTCCCCCCCCCATCGCCGCCGGCCCTGCTCCCCCGGCGCTACGGGCGGTACCGTTAGGCCCCACACCGGCCTGCGACACCGCGCCCGGCAGAAAGCTCCCTTTGACCCCAACCCTCCCTTATTGCTGCCTCCTCTCCCTCCCTATGCCTTCCTCGCCTCCCTGCCCGCCTATGGGCAGCCAGACCCGGCAAGTCCTGCTGAGAGAAGACAAACAGCTTTAAGGACAGGCCACCCCAGCCCCGCGCCCTCACAGCGCCGACCACCCTCAGCCCGCTCCTTCCCGCTCAGACCCTGCTGACGAGGCAGCACAGCCCCCGAACCGCGGGGCTAAGCGTGAGGGGAAACGCGAGTAGGAGGCGTGAGGCCGGTCTGGCGGTACCGCTTACCGGCCGCCAGGAGCCCGAGGAGGCAGACGAGCCGCCGCGCCATCACGCCAGCTCCCGTCTGCAATGCGGAGCCGACAGCGCTACCTCCGCCCGAGATAAAGGCTGCGCCGGGCGCCACGGCGCATGCTCGTCCGCCGCACCGGCCTCCGCCCGGCTCTTGCACATGCGCAGGAAGGAGGGTGGGCGCTTCACCCCTTACCCGTGTCAGCCCGCTGCGCATGGCTCGTTGGCCGGATCGCTTCAGGGGGTGGAAATGGCCGTGGTGTCTGCGATGGGCTCCCTGGGTAGGGGGAGCGAGTTCCTTCTCGGTGAAGCAGCCTTGCCAGGTACCTGCGTGGTCTGAGGGAACAAGAATTATATGTAAAGTTAAGAAACAGCGTGAACTGACATACCTCGCAGCCTCTTACTGCTGCCACATCCTTTGCGCTGCTTTAGCCAACTAGAGCAGCAAACTAACACAGAAAACAAAATGCGGTGTTTTCTTACAGGATCAGCAAACCGAACCAGGTCAGCCGAGAGCCAAAGCTGGTCCCTTGCAGGCAGAAGCCAGGCTCAACAGGGCTGCTAGACAGCTCCTCTCTTAAACCCATGCGCAGGGCACTGTTGCTGGAGAAGGGGTCCCTCTAAGCTAGGTACTTCTCACAGCCTGGAGAGTTCGGCTTGGGTATCTTCTGCAGCATCAACGTAACTCACAGACTCATCAAGTCCGAAGTGCTCACATCTGTGAGGCTCATTCTCCTTGGTTCATGAGGATCTACATGGTACTGCCCTTCACCTAAGGGTGTACGTGGTATTATTATGTTAGGTCGTTGGTCAAGGACCAGACTTGATAACATTTAAAGCTTACTTGCAGTTTAAGGGTTAGGAGGAAGTGGATCTGTTCTGATCTACTTTGCCAGTGTGTACCAGACAGGGTAATGCACATTTCTCTTCTTCTTACTATCTTCTTAAAATTAAAAGTCACTGTGGGAGGCTTGTTACCTCCGTCTGCAGGACACAGCAGGGAAGCTTGATGCTTACACAGGGCCTTTGCTCCCTGGCAGTCAGCACAACTTCATTCCAAGCCTCCCAAGACTCTACTATCCCCCCCACCCCATGAGGAGCCAGGGCTCTTAGGTAATTCCCAAACTGGAGCCAGATGCACCCAGACCAAATCAACGAGGCAGAAAGCCACCCTCAAGAGCAATTTTAGCCAGACTAAACAAGCAACCTTTACTCTGGTGCTAAAGCCACCTTGCCTAGGCAGGGCTGAGCATGCTTCTCTTATCTCTGGGTTGCACATAAATTGTTGACAAGGCACCTTGACTTTAAGCAGCAGTCAGCTACTAGCTTAGGAGTACACAGAAAAACCCCAACTTCATGAAGAATATTTAAAAGAGGGGCGTTAAATAAGACTGTCTGGGACAGGAGAGCCATTTCAGCAGGCAGGGTGTTTTTCTTCTGTGAACTGAAGGACGGGGGTAAAGAAGGACTCGCATCTAGCCAGAGGGTGCTACCCTGAATCTGTTCTCATTCTGGCCAACAAGACTGCCTCTGTTAGCCCAGGTTTCTCCAGAGCTCCACTAAGTCTAGCGGATCTGGGGAATTTACTCCCCCCCCCCCCCCCCCCCCCCCCCCAGTACAGAGCATATAATATCTGTCCAGCAGCTCCCTGAAAAATTGGCACCATGACATAGCATTCCTGGTTCAGCCATACCGCCTGCTAGTTTTCCCACTTAAAAATGGGATTAAAAAAAACCTAAAATGACATCAAGAGTTCAGGCACTTGCTGCCTGACATTGACAATGGGACCGTTTGCAAGACTGGGAAACCCCAAAGGGCAGCTCACCCTGTTGAGACCAGGTCCAGCTCAGAGATGTGAGGACCAGCTGCAAGAGAGACCTTGCACCGAGTGTGTGAACTGCAGCAGTCTTGCCTACCACCTTCCGCTTTTGCTGAACTTCTGCTCAGATTTGGGGGTTCTCCTGCAGATAAACCTCTCAGATAAGGTGTCAGATGAGGCTTCTTGGGAAAGGACCATGGCCTGTCAGTAGCCGTGTACAGCTGAGTCACTTTGCAGTGGTTGAGAGGGGGCCTTCCCAGCCCAAACTTGATTTTTGGCCCCATTTTCAGGGAGATGCATGCTCTGCATAGAGAAAGGGAGTAGAAAGAGCCCATCCTCCCTCAGGCTGAAAAGCCGTGGCTCAGTGGGGAACTCTCCTGCAGCAAAACACATGACTCACTTGCCATGGGCTAGCATCTAGGAGCACTGCCCCTACCAACCAGTTGGACCAGGCTGGCACCAGAGCCGGGCTGGGTCCAGAAAGCCTGATGCTCAGTTTTGTCATGCCTACGGCACACAAATTCCTTCCACTGTGGCCTCACCCTCTTGGTGCCAAATTCTCCAGTTTGCATAAGTGGTGCACGTGAGGCATTTCTGTTTGGCAATCTTGAGAAGCCAGCCAGAGGCCCCTGCAGGCTCTGGTTTTGCAGCCTGCTGCAGCCAGCCAGATAGGTTGATAGACGAATGTATTTTCTGCATCAGCCTAGCTTTTGGACCATTCGCATTTCCACTCAGACTGCAGCAAGCCATCAGAGGGGAAGCAAAGTCAGCCACAAATTACAGCCTGGCAGCCTCAAGAAGAGCCTTGGACATGTTTGAAGTTTATTCCAGCCCAAGCAAGAGCAGCCTCCCCGTGACTCACCAAATGGTTTGGCTTGTGGGTCCCAGCTGGACTAGAGACAGACTCTCACTACACACCCCCTTCTTCACCACTATCAGGCTGCAGAGAAGTAGCTCCCTCCCTGGCATAATTCTCAGAGAAGAAAGCATCAGAGCATTTTCCAAATGGGAAGGCAATACTGCAGCTCAGCACTACCAGGAGTCCACAAGACAAGCGGGACAGTAGCATGTTGTTCTCCTCCTGGCACTGTTGCTCATCAGCCCCTGTGCCAGGCTTGTTCAGCTCCCGAATGCAGCAAAAAAAGCAGATGGTTCTTTACTGGATTAGTGGCCTGAGTCAGCCCAGGGTGCAGAGCCAGTGATCAGTGGTGACTCAGCAAGGCTGAGGGAGTTAGACAGCAGCAACCCTATGCTTCTCCAGCCTCTCAGACCCCCACATCAACCCAAACAGCCATGCAGTCTGCCCACCCAACCACCAATCCAGCTTTAGGAGTGATCCATTCCTCTCCCTGGGCAGTTTTCCACCTGGATCCAGTCTGCTGCCTGAATGCTTGTGGCAGTATGGGGGAAAGCAGTTGATGACCATCCAACTTTTGGGAGCTGCACTGCAGCAGAGCTCAGTTTACACTGGCACAATCACAGGCCAAGTTCTTCCCCATGTGCAGCCACAATTATCAAAAGGGGTCATATCAAGTGCACCGGATTTTTTGAGCAAAGCATAGCATAAAGCCTTCAATCACTGCAGCTAATTCTCATTTCAGTATTTCCTTTGTCAGCTGTCACAAGGTTTACATTTTGGTTACAATCTGCATTCTGTTTAAATGTTTCCTCAGCAGTTAGGTACTACTTAATGGGATTAAACCTCTATTCCAAGGCAGACCATATTCCAGGGCAACTGTTACCTCATACCAAGTAGATCAACACAAAGAGGGTCACCAGCCATAAATGCCCTCATGAGCTGGGATTTCTGACCAGTGCTAGCAAGACCTAGAACAACAGCAGTCACAAGAAATGATGATTCTTCCTAACTACAGGGGAATCATCACTTCTTTTAAGCATGGGCTTTACGAATATGCACAAAGATGTAGAATCCTGTTCCTGCTCTCATTGCGTCATCTTTTTCAGGGTGGTATGCAATAAGAAAGCAGCCAGACAAACCTCTACAACAACCTTTGAAGGAGAAACAGCTTTCTTCTTGTAAATGGAAAGAAGAATTAAGTCATATGTTTTTCTGAAAATCCTACCCCTCAAAAAAATAAAAGAGAGAAATATATATCTAGGTTACCCATGAAGAAAATAAATAAAGTCCCAGCCTTTTAAAAATCACCCCAGCCCACTTCTATGGGCTGGCCCCTCTCAAAAGACAGCATTGCAAAAGTAAGCAAGTTTTTAGTTTGGGTCTTCAGAGCCTAAGGGTAAAAAAAATCACCACACCAAACTCTGGCTGACAGTCACTTGCACACACCCTGGTAGACTGCTGTGGCACCAGCAAGGTGGTATGGAAGCATGCCACCAAAGACCGCTGCTCTGTCAGCTTCCCAGGGGAGGCACTTGCAAGGAGCTTTATATGCACCCCAGAGAGTATGCTGTCAAGCAGGGTGTGCATTTTCGAAAGCAAATACCAAATGGCACAGCCAGGCCTTGGCATTAACTCTGATGGGAATAGTGAGTACACAGGAGTAGAGTCTGTCTTTCGCTGTAGTGTTTGGTGTAGAGTGGAGCAAAGGAAAGCTCCTTTCAAAGAGCAAGTGTTAGCACCACATGGCACTCTCCTCTGGGAACAAAGCTGAGCATCACACAGGTGTCACAGAGTGAAGTCAGATATCCCTCTTTTCCATGTGCTCACTCCAAGATAAAAGGCAACATATTCCCCATCCTCATCTTTCAACACCTCCTTCTTTACCTGTCCATTGATTTTGGGCTTACCTCAGCTCTGAACACAGGACCTGGAGCTCCAAATGCCACCACCAGCTTTGCCACTGCCAGACAGAAATCGGCAAAACTTACCTGCCAAAACCAAAAATGGTTTACAAAACATGGGGCCAAGTTGCTTTTATTTGCTTTCTGCTTTGCAGGTTTTCAGGGATTATGCTTAGAAGCTCTAAGGGCTTTTTCAGCAGCGCAGACCATTTCAATCCAGCCCTTTCACAACAGATGGAAAATCTGCTTTGATTCAGTTCAGCTCAGACGGAAGCGATTAGATAATCATGGGGCTCGAGAGCCACAGCTGTAAGAAAAAGCACGAAGTATTGTAGGCTTTGCAGAAAAAGTAAGAGCTGGCAGGGGACAAAAAGCTACAAGGGCTTCTGTAGGTAACCAGACCGAGAAGACAACCATCCCCCTGACTTTCTTCATATAATTTCCTTTGCTGTTGAAGTACTTGCTTTCTCTTCCCTCATTACCCACAGCATAAGGAAAGGCTCTGAACTGAATATACTATTTGGGGAAGAAGGTACAAAGCAAGAGCATGGACAGCCAAGCAAGCTGTCCTCA